AGCCGAAACCTAAAGCCCCAAACCCCGAGAACTTTTTCAGGCAGAGCTTTCACCGCCTCGCGTCGGTCGACCCCATGGGGCACAGCCCAGGGAGGCAGCCGAAAGAGTGGGGCCGTGTAGGCGCCCCAAAAGGGCTGGTCACCTGAAAGGGTTTAGGGTTTAGGGGGTTAGGGTGTAGGGTTTAGGGTTTCAGGTTTTATGGGTTCCTGAAAGGTTTAATGTAATTGGAAAGGGGTTTGGGGCCCATTATACTATAGCCAAATTAACATAGGTAATTATGGAGGCCCCTACATTAGGAGACAGGTTTTTCTTAAAACGCTACACCCTATAATTAACAGACCCTAAACCCTTTTGCGGGTTTGAAGCTGAGGGTTTGGTTTTGATGTTTAGCAGCTGTGAGCGCTTTGGGCGCACCCCAGACGGTCTGGTCAACTCAGCTTCAGAGGACTGGGCGGGGGGCCTTAATAATTAGAATAAGGTTTTGGGCCCGATTATGCTATAATTATAATAAGGAACCACCAAAATAATATAGGTAAACATAGGTAATTAGTTAGGCGACTCTGTTAGAGTTCCTTGAATCGAATTTGAAGGCTCCTTGACGGGTATCTCTAGGAAGTTCTATAAGGGTTATAAGGGCTTGACAGATCAGGTTGGAGTTAAGGGTCAAGGGCTCTAGGGACAAGGATTTCGGTGAAGGTAGTGTTTGTTCCTGAGGGTCAAGCATCTAGAGCTGTGTTTACGGTAAAGCGAGTAGAATGTTGGGCTTAGGTCTGGGGCAGACGGCTCAAAACCCAACATCGAACATATCCAGGCCAGGTTTAGGGTTTAGGGTTTAGGGTTTAGGGTTTAGGGTTTAGGGTTTAGGGTTAAGGGTTAAGGGTTTAGGGTTTAGGGCCATTCACTTGACTGAGGCAGCACAGATGAGGGATGACTGTACGTGGGGTGGGTCACACAGTGGAAAAACACGTAGTCGTGTCAACAACCATCTTGTGCATTGCCAGCATGAGATCAAGAAATCCAAACACATGTATGTATGTATGTATGTATGTATGTATGTATGTATGTATGTACATATATATATATACATGTACACACGCACTGAAGCTCGCGACTGTTCCAAAGGAGTCCTATGCGCACACACTAGCACCCGCTGTGAACCCTGCCTTACAAGATAATGCTTCATAAGTTCGGTGCGGCGCGATGTCGACAGCTGTCATGGCTGTGCACATACTCAGGCATCGTTTCTCTCAGTCACAGTATCGGTGATACGGAAGACGTGGCGGGGCGATGGGATAGCAGAGACTAGGGGTGAGTTGTTTCAAAGGGCTCCAATGGTGGAATGAAGGCAGGTGGGGTAAGTAATCCCAAGTCAAGCCCTGAAGAATAGGGAGTTAGACTAGGTTTTGCGGTAATTCTTCCGACCACCATACTTCAAACCGATGCTGAATCCTGCGGAGGATCGTCCGTCTTTGTGAGGTCACCGAACAGGTTGGGGTATGCTACGGTATGGTAGGGCGGGTGGGTCAAGCTTCCTGGGTGACATCATTAATTAGGCGCATGGCTCGGCGGATTATTCGAAGATCTGACATAGAAGCCTTATAATAATCAGAACAGGGTTCGAACAGTAGGGTATGTTGGGTGTCTCCTGCGTGCAGGGCTTCAAAGTTTAATGATGCTCCTGGCAAAACCCAAGTCGTGCGGCCAAATGGCGAAAGAGTGGCAGGAAGACGTTGTCGTAGAAAAACCAGAGCCTGGGGTTCTTCGAAGGCGCAATTCAAACCAGGAGATCTGCCTGTGCATCCCCCGAGGACTACGGTTCCCACTTGGGTACCAAAACCCGTAAATAAGGACTGTAATTACTTGGGCCCTTCGGGTCCTGCACTAAGCAGTCCTGGGTTTGTCTTTTTTCTCATGAAAAACATCTTGCGACATTGCGTATGCCTCATCCTTGGCCAACTGCTGCTTCAAGGCCATCGGCAAAGCAACCTCCACGTCCTTCCAGAATAGTGCGACTACCGTCTCCGCGTGGCGCAGCTCCTGAATCCCCCTGGGCAGCTCCAAAATCTGCCTTCTTCTCTGCATTCTTCTGGCGAACCAGCCTTCAGCTCTCTAGGCGCCTCTCGGTGTACTCCAGGACGCCAAGCATACCTTCTTGCATGTCAGATATGACTGTCCCTAGAGGCTCTGCAGGAGCCAAATGCTGAGACAAGTACAGGAAGAAGCTGCAGATATAGTACTCATAATGGCCAATGAAGGACGTTGTCCATCAGCAGGATCATGCTAACAGGCAGCATCATGGCAACAAATCTCAAGCCAAACACATACATTCCTATGATATCTTAAACCTGCCCATAGAGGGTTGCAGGGCCCAAAACCCTGAACCCTGCATGGATTCATGGGCTGTTCAGTCAACACCACGAATGCACCGCACAAAGCCGTACTGCATCCAGGGATGCATAAGCTGAACCCACGACTTTTGGGGTTTAGGGCCTCTAGGGTTTACAGAGCTTAGGAATCCCATGGAAACCCTAAACCAAAAAAACTAGACCGAACTCAACCGTAAACCCTAGACCGAACTAAACCATAAGCCCAAGGTCATAAGCCCTAAGCCCTAAACAATAACTCTAAACCTAAAGCCCTAAACCCTAAACAATAACTCGAAACCTAAAGCCTAGACAAACCCTATCTCTATACCCCCTGAACCCTGAATCCTAACCCTGAAATCCCAAAGCCCAAAAGCCGGAGGACCCGGGCCTTCGCCGACCTTTTGGGTAGTTCTCTGAAGTAGGGCCCC